CCCCCCGGGGGGTTTTTTTTTTTTTTTTTTTTTTTTTTTTTTAACTTCGCACTGTACGAAAAGTTTGCAAACTCTCCGCATTGTGCGAAGTTTTTTTTTTTTTTTTACTTTTTTACGACGCACTATACGGAGAGCCCGTACTTTGTGAGGACGGTGTTCGCACAGAATGTCATCTCTTCGCACTGTGCGAAGATATTATTTTTATATTTTTTTAAAACTCATGTGTGAAGATTTTTTTTTTTTTTTTGGCTCATGACAGTTTATATTTACTAAAATTATTATTATTTTTTTAATACTAGTGGCATAATGTGTGGAAAGATATTTGTTTGACATAAATAAAATGAAAAAAAATGACATCATACATAGTAAAGTTGGATTAATTTACTATTGTATCAATAGTACACCCTCCTTCCTTTTTTATTAGAAGTTAGATTCATTACTTTATATGTTTTTATATAATTGTTTGATCAAAATCTTTCACAGATTTTTGTGCACTTTTATAGAATTCATTAGACTTGTAAAGAATTTCATATTAAAAAAAAAAAAAAAAAGAATAAAAAAATCTTGTATATAAAGTTATATATTTAATATTTATGTTACTTTATATTATATTAATGTTATTGAATTATTTATTTTTGCAATACAATTTATTTCTATTTTGAATTTACTTGTGTATCCAGAATGCATAGTAACAACATTAAATATTTCGTGATAATAAAAATATTTAAAAAATAAATAAATAATCCATAGAACATAGTAACATCATCATATTTTTCATGATAATAAAAATATTTTTTTAAATTATAAATATATGTCAACAAAATTAGATAAATAAATAATAAAAACACACACACACATATATAATTCAGTGCTGTTTGATTAAACAAAATCGATTGTTCAATATCATCACTATGACCAAAACTGTAGAAAGTTACTAAATTAAACAATAAATCACTAAATAACAACCTAATAAAAAAACCTATTCTTTTTGTGAAATGTCTTATCAAGATCTATTTTAAATGGAAGATCCAGAGAAATCGATGAAAAAGAAGAGAGAAAAACTTACTAGAACTTTCAATTACAAATTGATCGTGCTCTTTTTCATCATATGAAAAAAAAGGGAGAAACGACGAAGAACAATAGAAAAAGGAATGAGAATATTTTAAAGAAAAAAATCACACGTTGAAGACAGAAAAATATGGAATCTGTCTTTTTTTTTTTTCAAAATAAAAAATATATCTGGATTCATGAAGGAAAAGAATAGAGAAATTTTAAAGGAAAAAGAGGTAAATTCGAAGACTACAGTTATTTTTGGTGAAAGAATCCAAACTTTGGAAATTGCGAAATTTTTGAATTTATATTACCTATAGTAGGGGTTTTTAAAAAATATCAATTTTGAACGTTTATGATTAAATCAGTTTAAACTGATTTAACTAGCAATTTTTCTAATAGTTCGATCCATGTTTAGGAGTTTATTAGGCATCAATTTTGGGTGGTTTTTATTCCATCCAAATCGGTGTCTAAAAAAAATTAGCATGCACCGATTTTTTAAATCTTTCATAAACTGTGCCAATCAAAAATGATGGAAAACAAACTCCCAAACGAGCCCTGCAACTAATCCCACAAAACTTTTTGTCTTTAAAATCTAAATTAAATATACCCTCACTTTCTAAGTCTGTATATGAATACACAAAATTTTAGGTTAATGGATTGACGAAGTAGAGCACATTAAAGTGACCTATTGATCATTTAGGACGCACATGATTGTAAGCATGAAATTTATAGTGAAAGAATATAAATTTTAATTAATTCAATTGCCTAGAATTTATTTGCATGAATATTATCAATTAAATGTGTGTGATTAATTTAATTTTCAACTTGAAAAATATAATGCTTGTCCATTTTATATTGGTGGATAGATGAGAGAGAGTTGATAGATTACAGAGAGAGAGAGAGAGCAAATTCCTTGAAAAATAAAATCCTACTTCACCTAAAGAAAATATTTTTTATTTTTTATTTTTCAGGAAAATAAAGTTACGTGACCAAAAGTAGGAACATGTTTTCCATTGAAAAAATAACACAAAAGTAGAGTTTTCGATGGAAAAAAAACACATTTTTCCATGAAAAATATTGACAATCAAACGAACCCTAATTTCATTAGCCTTAGCAATCAAAAAACTATCCATATAATCGACCAAAAACAAAACCGAAATTTTGTTGTTTCAGACCACATCTTTCAACGAACTCCTCCATATAAATCAATGCATTTCTTCCAGTTGAAACTGGCTACTCCCTGAGCAACCTCTAATCAATTCTATTCTTGTTATGCTGAACCATTTCGTAAATGCATAACTACTAAAATAAATTGAAAAACCAAAGATCATCATCTGTAGGGGACAAAAAGGGAAACGATGCAAGTCTACACTCCACAACAGAATTTCCCTCAGTCCAGAAAAAAACAAAATTGAACGTGTACGTGTACATGTACATGTAAAAAAGATAAATAAAAGAGAACAGATGAAAAATAGTCAAAATTAGTCCCAAAACTAAGAAAAATGAATACCAGCCTTGTTAAACAATGAGAGTAAGTGCATAAAATCACCTTGTGTGAGTTTGGAAGATCTTTTTTCTTCAAAACCACCTTCCTTTAACACACCTAAAACTCTATCTTTAAAATCAGAAGCTTTTGTATCCCCTTCATCTATCTCCATATCCTCATCTTTCCCTTCGTCAGAGTCCATGCTCAGGTCCCCGAGAATGTCTCCCAAAGCAGTGATACACATGGCCATTTCTGTATCATCTAACCCTTCATGCGAAAGCTGTAATGCTTGCAAGGTTTTATGGTTCTTTGCTAGTATTGAAAGGGTAGTCTTTTGCCTAAATATTGAACCAAGAGTTTTGTTTTTCTGGTTAAAGCAAATTCGAACTAGACCATCCCATTCCTTAATATTCACCGAAGGGAGCAGTTTCCTTGGTTCAATCCTGATGACCGAAGAGTCAACCTTAGGAGGAGGCCTGAAGTTGTTCTTTCCCACTTTTAGCAAGTGGTTAACCCGAGCCAACAGTTGAGTGTTCACAGACAGACGACAGTAAAGATTATCACCAGGTTGAGCAACGAGCCTCATGGCAATTTCCCTTTGGAACATTATTACTGCACACCTGAATAATGGGCGATGAGCTAACAACTTGAAAGTAAGGGGGGAGGAAATTTGATATGGGATATTTGCTACGCAAATGTCAAAGCATGGAAGATCACACTTCAGTACATCTCCTTGTATGACCTGGGGGAGAAACATTACAAAACATGCTCAGTTCTACTAATTATTTAGAATGACAGATAACAATTTCCTGATCAGCAGCGAAGTAACATTATCTTGAAATTACGCATTAAAAATGTAAAATATAAAGAGACAGACACAGGATGTCTTACCTAACATTATTGTTCCAGATACAGGAAATATTTTGAAAACAATAAACAGACTACATCTCTAGCCAAAAGAAAGGAACACAACTAGCATGAAGAGTGAATTGCGGAAGCAGCAAATGTGCAACTATATATAACAAGAAGCTAGGCCTTATTCCCAAAACTGGTATAGGCTACATAAATCCTTTTGTCAAACCATTCAGTTCACTACTACATCTACTAAAAAGCAATGAGCAAGTAGAACCATAGAAATCAAAATAGGTCATATTACTTTTGGTTTACCCCTTCCTCTTCTAACTTTTTCTACGGAGATCACATTGCTCTTGTGCAAGGAAGGCTCTTTAAATCTACACAGAACCTTTTGTCAACAATCCGTACAATACACCATAAGGTCTAATGGTGGGTTTCATATAGATATGACAAAAAAAATCCATAGAAACTTCTCCTAACGTTGTTTGATGGCATTGCAAACGTTTGAAGATTTAAAGTATCATATGGTTCCACCTATGTCAATTTTGCACCAATAGCTCAAGAATTTGTTGGATAAATTGTTCATCTGATTCAATCTTGATCGACTACCACAATATCAACCATGACAGCAAGCGATATGTTAAAATCACTAGCCTTGAAAGAATAGAATACCCACTAAATTTTATGCTAACTTGGCATCTTGAATAAAATAGTCATTTACATCAGATAACCCATACCTACTATTCTAGGTATCCGTAACCTAAAATAACATTTGCAGAAGTCAAATCAGTGATATAATGTGAGGTGGTAAACACCAATTTGGTATTTGTGTGTAAAATAAATGTGGAAGTATAGGCAATACAGATTTCTACGAGGTGGTAAAGAATGATTTGGTATTTGTATGTTAAGTATGTAAAAACCTAAAGGCATTTTTTAGTATTGTGGCATATCTGTAGTCTTTTGCTATGCCAATTTGCATTTAAAAAGGACTATTTAGAAAATTTTAACATTGTAGTTCTACTCTTGCCCAAGAAACATCACAAGTATAAAACCAATTTGAGATCCGTACAAATTATCTCCAAGTAAAACAATTTTTTCTTTCTTAATATCAACTTCAATTAAAACTGCTCATCTTTCAGCATCAATTTCATCAACATGTGTCAATGTGAATTATGATATGCAAAAATTACTATGAGAATGACAAACAGCAAATGCAACAAAGAGGCGAGGAACTCCTCAAGGACTATTAACATCAATTTTCATCAACAAATGTCAATGCCAATTTTCACCAGCTACCGTTGCATACGTACAAAAATTACTCCAAGAAGGTTGAATAGTAACCACGAAAAGAGAGCTGAGAATTCGGAGAACAAATGTCAATTTTCATCAACAAAATGTCAACATCAATTCTGCCTAAGGTTTGCCGGAATCACTTCAAGAACATCAAAGGTAAAAGGCGGATAAGATATTCCGTGGAGACATTCTGATACTCGTGTCAGCAAATGGACCGTAAAAAGTGGGAGAGAAATTCCATGGAGACATTCCGATACTTGTGTCAATAAAAGGACCGTAAAACTTGAGAAGAGAATTAATCAAGGATATTGAGGAACATAATTTGACCATATATCAGAACCTTGTAGGATATTTTTCATAGTTAACATAGGTCCATAAAATAAAATCCTTCTCAAATTGTAATACACTGATAGGCCCCTATCCACCTCATCAGTTCTAGAAGGACCCAGAAGAAGAGAATCTTGCAAGTGGAGGGGAGAAAGGAATAACTAAATTCTGTTTTGGGGGAATAGGGGGTAACAACTTTCAATTAGGAGACCATATAAATAAGAGAGGTCAGGAGCGTAATAGAAAAGCAGTATTTGAGGGTAGTAGAGTGGTTCTCGGTGATGGCCTTCTATAGGCTTTTGTCATCTAATTTCTGTAATTTTCTTATTATTCAATCGGAAGTTGTTATCTCATTAGCTTATTCATCTGATTTCCAGTTGGTATCCTATCAATTGGTATCAGAGCGGTCGATTGTTGGACTAAGGGAAACTATTTTCAGCAGCAGAGAATCAAAAGAGAGTTTTGAGCTTTATAAGGAGTGAGTCGTAGAAGATGGTGATGCATCAAAAAGGAGGTCGAGCCATTGATTCAGGGTTGGATTCATGTAGCCGACTCAACACAGATATTCTATGGGGATAATTTAGATTTGTGGCTGTTTGAGGCAGAGCAATGCATAAAGATGAACCGAAACTTATCGGAGAGAGAGAAGGTAGAAACAGCAGTCGCTTGCTTCCTTGGAGAGGCTTGGCCATGGTTTCAAGAGATAGACTATTGCTGTCCGATACAAACCTGGGAAGAATTGAAGAAGTTGACATTGGCTCGATTCCATGAGGAGCAGATCTCCGTTGTTGAAGAAATTTTAGAAGGTAAGTCGGGGAGGGTGGTCAATTGGACGACAGCACTCTGGGAGACAAAGAATGAACAGCCACCGTCGTCGGAGAAAGAAGAGAAGTATGAGTTTCCACTGGGGCTAGAAGGAGAGAAGACTAGTGTGACGGAGGGACCACTACAGCCGGAATTCATAAGTACTCATCCTGCAGTTGAACTTAGGAAGTGGCAAGAGATAGAATGGAAGAAAAAGGGGCCAGAGGACGTCCCCTTAGAATTTACAATGAATTTAGTAGTCACGCCGGCTGTGGAGGAAGGAAACATAGAAGTTAGAGAAGGCTCGGGCGAACAATGGAGACCAAAGTACCGACATCGACAAATCCCTGCGTTCGAAGGGGGATACCGTCAGCAATTTGAGTGTTTGGTCGCTCCTATGATGGATAGATCTAATGCAAGACGGGAGGAATTGAAGAATTTTGTGCTTACCCATTTCCGATCAACCCATGGAAGCACCAGCGAGAGTTGTTAGCACTCCGGTGAGAAGGGGTTGGTGAGAGAGTATCGTCGATTTGAGTCACTGGCCACTCCATTGTCAGAGATCTCATACGCGTCGTGGGACGGGCTATTGGTTAAAGGGCTTATTTGTGAGAAGATGACAGGAGGGAAATCGGTGGGTTTGGAGAATGATGTAGAGGTGGCTCAACAAAAGGAAAGCAAAGTTTTACTTAACCAAGCCCTAGAAGAAATGGGTCGGAATAAAATAAAGGAAGATGGCCCAGCATCTATATATACCTATACAACCCATCAGATTACTCCAAGCCACCATTACGCTAATCTGCTACAATCAGGTAAACGACTATACCATAGGTGGCTGGAGAAGAAATCCATTGGGTATCACAACAGAACTAAGGGGCTGCAGGATCCAGTTGCCCTTAAGCTGTTTTATGGGGCAACGATGTCATGGCTTCAAGGAAAACGACTGTACCATAAGTGGAGGGAGAAGACTTTAATTGGAGTGAGTACAAACAAGCATCCCAAGAAGGAAAAACGGTTGGTAGGGGCTATCCTCAAGTTTATTCTAATTGAAGAAGTGCAGCACATGGGAATTTTGGGGGTGGGGACGACAGGTTACGTAGTTTTCTTGGGCATTATCCTACTAGCAATTCGTCACTCAGCCCAATTCCTGGGATTGAAATATCTCCTTTCTACAAGGCTGGAAGGTTCAGACGAGGCAAGCTACGGAGGGGAGACAGCCATTCTGGGACAAGGCAAAGATGGAAGTACCTATTGGGAACAATTTAGACAACGGTTACTGCTGCGTTTTAGCCCAAAGATGAATTGCAGCTCTCACCGATCCCTTATCAGATGAATTCTAATCACAGCCCATACCATTGAGGAGAGGGAGATCATTGAACGAATTTGGAGGGGCCGAATCAATGCACCTGTTGAAGAAATCTGGGCTAGACCTGAAGTCCTAGAATCAAGGCTGGAAACTGGAGATGCCGAATTTCAGCGGCGAAAACCTCGAGTAGTGATTTTTTAGGGCGTTGAGGCACTTCATTATAAATCAGTTTTGGAAGAAGTTGGAGACAACTGCATTTTGGTGGGATGGAGAAGCATGGGCGTGGTATAATTTTGTTAATGGGCTGGAGTCTATGGTATGGGCCGAGGGGAAGATGTTAAAGCTCCAGGAGTTGGGCCATATTTTGGAGTGGGCTAGAAAAGTGAAGAATAGAAATGAACTCATCAATCAAGCCCAAGCAAATTATAAGACTAATACATTTACTTCAATCCAAACTCAACTTTCAGGAGTTCCGTTTGTGGGGCCAACTGGTTATGGAATTTGTATGGATAACATTTTATTGGTGTGGTCGATTGGCTACACAAACTAACAGTTGCTACAAGCTTACTCCAAACACGGGTCCGCAATATGAAATTCTGAATTTTGAAGTTGAGCTGAACTTCCACCTTGAGGACAAGGTGGATTTTGGGGCGGCGAGTATTGATAGGCTCCTATCCACCTCACCAGCTCTAGAAGGACCCAGAAGAAGAGAATCTTGCAAATGGAGGGGGGAAAGGAATAACTAAATTCTGTTTTGGGGGAATAGGGGGTAACAACTTTCAATTAGGAGACCATATAAATAAGAGAGGTCAGGAGAGTAATAGAAAAGCAGTATTTGAGGGTAGTAGAGTGGTTCTCAGTGACGGCCTTCTACAGGCTTTTGTCATTTAATTTCTGTAATTTTCTTATTATTCAATCAAAAGTTGTTATCTCATTAGCTTATTCATCTGATTTCCAGTTGGTATCCTATCATACACTAATGATAAAGATAAAATTTTATCCCCCTTATCTCTTGTGATAGAAATTGCCATATCAAATTGGATGAGATTTTCTTCAATAATTTTTATCCACAACCAGTCCAACATCTGTTGTGGAAAAATCAGTCTCATAAATTCTATCGACTAAAATAAGTAGATATATTCTATGATCATCATTACAAGGAGCCATGTCTAATTCAAGCAAGACACTTGGCATATTTATCTAAGGTTAAAAGCTCCTTAAAAGGGGCTTTAGGAGCTTTAAAACTTAGTCAAACATCCTCGTTATCTTTTTTTCTTTTTTTAATGACCATGAGTGTCCGGCTTAGTCAAACATCCTCATTATCTTTTTTTCTTCTTTTTTTTTTAAATGACCGTAAGTGTTCGGCCAGCTTACGCGCACCTCGGCTAATCTCACGGGGCACTGAACTTGACAGTCGGATACTCACATCAATGGCCACGAGGGGACTCGAACTGGTGACCATTGGGAACCAAATTCAAGGCCTTACTACTGAACTACCTCTCAAAGTTGTCAAACATCCTTGTTATCAAAAGGAAACTCCACTAATTGTGAACAATTACAAGCCTCTAAGTACGGTCAAGTTACAAAACAAATATTCTCTAATTCATTGTTCAATTCTCCTTCACAAATTTTATAACCATTTAATAACTTGACCGTCATAGTGTCTTCAAAAAAATTTCCACCAAATTTTGCAAGTTCTAGCAGTGTTTAATTTTTGCATACAGTGAAAAATAAATTACTATAAATTGACGCTGACACTTTGTAGAAGAAAATCAAATCACCGATTTCGTCAACTCAATTTCATCCAAGACTTCATACCATGTGCACAAACGTAATATATACTTTCCTAGCCTTGAAGTAATAGAATAGCCAGCTTGCTAATATGCCACCTTGGAATAATATTGCAAATTAACTTGCATCAGATATCCATACATAAAATCACATATAGAATTCCATTATTTGCTAAATCTATAACAATTTTATGAAACTAAACTTGTGTATATGAATAACAATTTGGACAAGACATCCAAATCCTTCTACAAAGTTTTAACATGGGTATTCAATCAAATGTAACTCTCAAATTTATATCCCTACCCCCATAAGAAAATTAAAAGAATAAGACACAAATAATTATAAACTACAGAGAAGTTTGAGAACTTAAATACATGCTGCATTCAAATCAATAGCTTCTACAAAAAGGGGACTTAAATTCCTCGAGGAGTTGATTTCAATTTTCGTCAACAGACCGTTTATAATTATGCAACTTCCGTTAACAACCCTTGCGAATCTACAAAAATGAAACGAAAAAGCTTAATAACAACTGCAAAAAGGGGGCCACGAAATCCCAGGAACTAATGACATCTATTTTTGTCAAAAATATATAGCGTCAATTCCACAAATTGTATTTGCTGATCCATGTAATTTCTTAGAAACGTTAATGAACACCTATAAAAAGGTGATGACAAATTTCCCGGAGACAATTTGATGCTTAAGTCAGTAAGTGAAATTGAACATAAAGATATTTAGAAATGTGAGTTGAATGTATCTGAGAACTTCTATAGGACAAAGTTTATTTATAATTAGCAAAGATCCTGTGGCTAGAATCCCCTTTGAATTGGACTTAGCACATTATAAGTATGAAGACAGATTTTAATCCCTCATCAGGTAGTATTATAAGATTGGATGAGTTTTATCAGAGTCAATTTTTATCCACAACCTAGTCTTGGAAGTAGTGTAGTACAAAAAATCTATTGTGCTAAGAATTAACTATAAAAAATATCATCAATATCTTAAAAAGAGCATGTTTCAGCCTCATTTGTTGCCCAAAATGAATTCTGGAATAGTATTTTGATGGACTATGGTTGAAAAATAAGAAAGTGCCTTGAGTTTATGTGTAATATTATTTTATTGAAGAATGATTTGTTGAAAATAAGAGATGAAAACGTATTTTCAAAATAATGAGAACCAAACAAGAGCCAAGATAAATTCTATGGGTAGAGATGTGATGATACAGAATCTATATTTATCCTTCCAAGAGCAGTCCAATTCAATAAATGCCTTTTTGTAGCATCTTTGACTCCGTTTAAAGCACCTTTTTAGGGTTTTGTTTGGACTACCTTTTAGTTCAAACGCACATTGTCCAAATAAGCTCCCAAAAAGGTTTTAAGGGGAGGCAAACTTGATCTTTTACACACAAACTCTACTAGCTATAGCTAATTTGTCCTAAAGGAAGATGCTCATGTTACACAACAAAAACACTCCCAAATGTTCCACTTTATGGTCATTTATTGACTTAAGCATCAGATTGCATTCGAAAAACTATTTTGCCACCTTTTAAGAGTGCTATTTGAAATTCCACTGTGTCTTTTCATACATCGACAAAAGCAATTGACAGAAATTAAACATGATAATCTGATGAACATTAACCACAGCCTATAGAGGCACATGCACATCTTATTCCTGCAAAGCTACATTATTTGCCAAGAATTAGGTGCAGAAAATTTGAAGTCTTGGAAACTTATATCTCATTTGAATAGAAGCATCTAATTTTAATTATAAAACTTCAATCCGTGATATCAATTACGCATAAGTAATCAACATATTTGCCAAATTAAAGCAACAAATACGAAAGTCCACAGCCTGCTGCCGTTCTGCGTTAGGGACAGAAGCTCCCCATGGCCCAAACAGGCTGCTTCTGGTGTAAAAACAGCAGCCAACACACTCTCGCACACAACACTTCCGTTTGCCCCAGGTTTCTCGTTTTCGATGCAAACACAAATACATATACAACCAACGTAATAATCTCAACCGTAAACAATTAAACACCGAAAAAAGAAAAGAAATTTCCATCAGAAGCCAAGAAAATTATTCACCTGCAATCGAGCAGACGAAGGGGTTCCTTGAAACCTACGTTGCAGCTCGAGAACCATACAGGGATCAAGTTCGACTGCTATTACAGATTTCCCTACTTCCAGAAGCTTCTCAGTCAGATTACCAATACCAGGACCGATTTCTAGGACGACGTCAGTGGGCTTGATGCCAGATTTCTGAATTATACTGTCGATTAAGAGCGGATTTTTCAATATGTGCTGGCCTTTGGACTTGTGGAAGGGTATGCCGCCTCTGAAGTGAGGGTTTGAGGCTTTCCTAATTTTGCCACCGGCCATTGTATTCACTATTTCGAGAACGGAGCAACCATGAGGTTTGTAAATTAGCAGATCGAAGATTTTAGGGTTTTATTTTTGGGAATTGGGAATTGGGGATTTTTGATTTGGGCCTTATTGTAGTTTGATATGATGGGTTGGGTCTAGTTAATGGGCTAGATTCAAATTGAAAACTTTTGTTGCAAGTTAAACGTTGCATTAATATTCAGTTGGATAATTGTCAAAAATGGCATTAACAGTACTAATTTCCATATGAAAGTTCATGTTTGATGCGAAATATTAGACAATAATAAAATAATTTCTTTACCTTCCTTTTTCTTTATTAATATTGCATAGAACGAATATGCTTTTTCAATGGAGTAAAAACGTAAGAATGAATGAACTCGTGCTATAAGAGATGTTCTATGCTTTATGAGATATTGTTTAATCGTGGCAAAATGGGTTAGACACTCATGTAAGTACAAATTCAGAAGTCAACCTTAAGATATTAGATTTGGTAATTTTCCTCGTCAAATAAGAAATCAACACTCTTCTCAGAAGATATAAATTGACGGATGCATAATAGACATGAGCAAATAATGTATATACTCATCAATAAAAAACTAAGCAACTACTTAATGAGTATTCTTATCAAATATAAGTCCCAAAGAATTTTTACAATCCATCATTCCAAATAAATGAAAATTTTGATTAAAACGTATAATTAAAAAATACAAGATCTTATGTTGGCATCAATTGTTTATGGGTCGTGCTTGTGTGACAAACCCCTGGTTGGGCGTCACATATCCCCTTGGGGTTGTCCAAGAGGCTTGAGCCATTGTTTATGCCAACACATTCCAATATCACTTGAAAATGGAGAAAATCGACTGAAAAATATCGATGGTCCAAGAATTGGGTTTATTTTCACATCCATGTTTGATTCATTTTAATAACATGCTTTTAATCACATTAATCTATAAGTAAATAAGTTTTTAACAAATATTCTTTTTGCTGATATATTAAGGTCCCATTTGGTAGCTATTTTTTTCAAAAATACATTTTTCTCTCTTCTTTTCAACCACACATTCTTTATTAAAATAATCTTACACATAAATAAAAAAAAATTCTTATTTTTCAACCACATATTTTACATCAATTTACTATTCTAAAATGTATTTTTACATAAAAATGCCTATCAAATAGGGATGACAATTTGAACCGTCAAAACCAAAAACCGTGGTTAACCGAATCGAATGGGGTGAAAAAAATCGAACCGATGGTGCAATGGGACGGATATGATTTTTATTTTAATGAACCGGTTCTTGGCGGTGCGGGTATGGTATTTACGCCGTCGAACCAAAATCGAACCGATTACCTGCTAAAAAAAAACAATTGAATTGATTATTGGGCTTTATACTACTTTTTTCTCTAGCCCAAAACAAAATCCCCCCCGCCCCCTCCCCTCCCCTCTTCCAAATTACACCTACATGATTCAACCGGCCAACCCACTTATCATTAGCCCATAATAATAGCATTAGTAGGACATTATATAAATGCGAACCTACTCTCCACAAACCACAAACTCACACATGGCTCCTTTTATTGTTAATTTTTTTCTATTGTGTGTAAAAAATTCTACTTCTTTATCATAATCTAGAGCTTGTGCAACATTTAGCGAGAAGAAAGCTGACGAAGAGGTATATTTTTTTTTATTTAAATTTTAGTTAAAACCATTCTAGAATAGGTAGTATCGTTTTATTCTCTACTTACATTTCTTATTTACTATATAGGAATCAACTTTGAGTGTTGATCTATGCTAGCAAGATTTGTGGGAAAGAATGAATCAAGTAATTTCGATGCACAATAGTTAAGAATGAAGGAAAAGTTTAATATTGTTATATTTAAATTATTGTTTGTTAAATTTGTATTTTACAATTGAAAATTGGGATAATATTTGCATTTTCGTTTAAAATATTGTGTTTTTATTTTCATTGACTTTTTTCATAAATTGTTTTATATCAATTTGATGGATGAACTTATAAAAAATAATTTATTTCCGTGGTTATTAACCGAATCGAACCAAGATAATAACCGAACTGAACCGATTTACGTGGTTATAGTGCGGTTATGGTTTTGGTCGAATCGACCCATAATCGAACCGTTGTCAACCCTACTATCAAACACCCCCTAAATCTTGTCAGGTCCACTTTTTACAAGATTAAAATTAATTTTTTTACCATTACAAAGT